AGACGGGATGCATAACTACCCAAATAATAACATCCAGATTTCGCACGTGCTTCGAAGCAACAAGTTCGCAGCTTTGGAAAAGTGGAGAGTTTCCATTTGTAAGGGAAACAAAAATTGTTTTCAATTCTGATAAAATCCAAACGCATTTAAACACTTTTAAAAAGTTAAATAAAAACATCAAAAATTGGCAAAATTAATTAGTAGAACATTTTTTCAGTCTTTGGGGATTAAGTCATTCTGATAATATTTGAGATTTTTTTCATTTTTTATTTTTTCAAAAGCAAACTTGATGATTATTTTTTTCTAAATTTCCGACCTTCTTTTTAAATATGAGCTTTAAATTAGCTATAAATGCAATTTTTACTCCGCAGATTTTTCTCTTTCAAATTTTATTTGTATCTCATAATTTGTTTTCTTTCCATAGAGTTTAAAAAACTGTTCAAAAAACCTATTTCACTTTGAAAAGATTTTAACTTTGTCATTTTAACTGAAAATTGCGCTTAAAAAGTAAACTTCATTAATATAAATTAATTTATTAACGCATTAAACGCATCATTAATCACAAAAATGATCTAATAAATCATTAATTGATCTGAAAGGTACTTTGACCGTTCAACAATTATTGGCTCGTCCAGTTACATTGAATGACATTCTGAGGATTCATTTGTTTCGAGGGGGCTGAAAATAAGCATTCGCGGAAGGTAAACCTCCCCATCGGCCGTTTGGTTGGTCGCACCTGCAACTTGCTAATTACGCGACAAAAGCAACAGCCTCGTTTGCCTTGTGATCGTTCCCTTTTGATCTCTGCGAGAGAGCGAGTCTCAATTTTGCGCCACAAAGGAAAAACGAATCGATTTGAATTTTTCCAGACGTAATTTTCCTTCGAGGAACAAAACAAGGATATTTTTTGCCCGACGACATCGCAAATGATGATAAGGTCGGGCAAGGAAGTTTTTCGTCCAAGTTTGCGCGTTTTAAAGTGTTTTATAAGCTGCACGGTGCGGCTGCTTTTAAAGGCAAGTTCACGCGGCTATTTTTCACTCGCAATCTGACCTAATAAAACTTTTATCATCAGAGAGAGGAAAGTCGAGAGTCTTTTTCGCCTGTCGAGCGAGCGAGACGAACACGATGATTCGCCTTTTCATTCTTATCAGCCGCTGATCGTGCACGTGCTATGGCCGTCCTTTTTCGCCAAACTTGCTTAAAAGGCGGCTTAATTTGCGAGATACGTGAAGAATGGCTGTTTTAGGGTGGCGAAACTGCCGCAGCTCCGGCGCCGGCAAATTGCCCGACTCAAATTCGGGACTATCAGAGTAAGGATGCAAGTTTCATTTTGTACAAGGCGCAAAAATTTTATACGGAATTATCTTCAAAATTGGGAAAACTTGCAAATTTGTGACGAAAAAAAATTGCAGAAATAATTTTAATTTTGCAGAATGTTGGTGTTAAGAAAAAAAACGAATGTTTCTTTTTGCATGATTTTTTTAATCTTATCTGCTTTGATAGATTCTTGTTTACAAATTTTGAACCAATGACGCTTGAAATGTTGAAAATATAACGATCTTTTTTATGGACATTGTTGACTCTATGATTATATTTTATTTTTTGCTACGCTACAATTGCAAATTAATTACAAAATTACTGGACTGGTGTATGCAAAAAAAAGCGTCTTCATTCACAGTTGATTTTTTTTTGTTTTAATAATTTGCTCTCAATTCATCAACGTTGCTTTTCTTTCAATTAGAAGTTTACAATTAAATTATATTAAATTGCTCAAAATTTCATAACTTTTTATCAGAAGAAAAATATAATTTAAAGATTAAAAAAATAACAATTCCTAATCTTCAAAATTCCGCTACTTGAACGCCGGCGTTTAACTTCAGCACTTGGCCAGCGACGATTAAACAAAATGAATAGCCGCACCAGTGTTTTTATCTTTCAAAAGCAGCCCTCCCGGGAGAAGGAAAAAACCATCTTTGGCAACGTTCCTCTCTTTCTTTCTTTTCATTCGCAATCGCGCGGACAAAACAAATTGTAATTGCAAAACAATTGGCAAACAAACAAATTAATCATTCCGCATCTCTCTCTGACGCATGTCGGACAGAAAAAAATAAAATAAAAAGATATATAAAAACCGGACGTGTGCAAAAAGAAGATTAGCGCGCGAGGCAGCGGCGTCGGTCTCGGATAATCAAATTATCCTCGGGGTGGCCGGCCGGCCGGCCGGCCGCGAAAAAAGCAGCGAGACATGTCTGGTGGCTGAGCGAGCAAGGCTGCACCCACGGCCAGACCACGTGACGCAAGCGCGCGCGCCGCGTGACGTCACGGCTGCACCCAAGTTTAGCCGGCTGGCTAACGGTGCCTTTTATGCCGCCGCCGCCGCCGCTTTGAATTCTTCGTTCGTTCGCCAGCCAGCCAGCGGCGGCGGCAACGCCGGCCGATATCTCCCGACGATATTGCGCTCGGAATTCGATCCGCCGCATGCCGATGACTGACTGACTGCCAACCGCACGCGGTCGCTCGGAATTCGCCGCACTCCCCAATTCTCGCTCCCGATCCATCTTTCTTTTCCACTTTCCCGTGCTGTTTTATTGGATCGCTCTTGTTTTCCGAGGGAAAACGTCGAAATGACATCCGATCCCGAAACTTCTTTGCCAGAAACCTAAAGTGCATCCGCTCCGAAGACTTTGGGGTGACTTTTATTGAAAAGAGGACGGCCGCGCAAGTTGATCGTTTCGTGAGGAGAATCAAAATTTGGAACCAAAGCCGAGGGAAATTTATCAAAGTAATAGTTTTTTTTTTAATAAAAATGTCACGTTGGACGATGAAGTTAAGCAACTTTGAGTGCAGGAACCCTAAGTTTCAGCAGAAACTTCCCTTCCTAGCTTCACATGCAAGGATAAAAAGATAAGAAAAATTCATATTGAAATATTTAACTTCTTAAAATCATAAAATAAATCCAAAAATGTACACAATCTCAATTGTTAACTTCTTGAATAACAATTTTCTGTTCATATCTAAAATATACATAAATTTTTATATTCCTAAATAGAAAAAGCCAGGCTTAAACTTTTAACGCACCTCACCATATATGTATTTCGGGAAATTTCAAGCACTTATTCAAATCTTATAGGTTTCACATATTACACGAAGCTATTTCATTATTTGACTAAAGTTTTAACTATACACTTTAAGGCATGCCATCTTATATCAAAAAGAAAATTCGTAAACTAATTAAAAAGTCACTTCAAATTTCAATCAGGCCCTGGATCTTGGCGAATTATGTCAATCTGATTCAAAATATATGTGAAAATAAAGACTTATTTTCCAAACCATTTTACTATTCATTTATTCTCCATTCAAAATGAAATACACAAAATCTTACATCAAGTCTATAAAAAAATAAAAAAAATAAAATAAAATAAACAATACGACACTAAAAATTTACAAAGCAATAATTTTGTAAATTTATTTAGACTATATTTTAAAATGGTTAGAATTCCTTGATCAGTTTGAGTGTTTTCATATAAAAGTTAATATTGATATTCTTAGAAAAAAACTTTCCTCTCACTTCGTTGGCATTGTTTGTAAAGAATAAATAAAAATTTTATGCAAAATAACACTTTTCACAAATATTTGAACGCTGAAGTTTGCATACGTCAAATGCAAAAACTCTTTTAAACTGCAGCCGAGTGATTTCCTTTATGAATTAAATTTATCTTTGCATTCTAGGAAATAGCAAACGTTGCTAATTCTGCGAATGGGTGCAATGCGAATGCAGCCGTCAAAGCAGGTGCCGCTCGCGATAAACTTTTAATTGAATCGCCAAGGAGGGCGAGACGGCCGGTGAAAATCACGGGCGCGGAACTGTGCAGATTCGCAAAGTGCTTTCAATTAGACCGGCGGCGGCGAATAACTTGGGCAAACCGCACGACTTGCGAGTCCTACCGGTTGCATACATGCTAATACCGCAGGCGCGCGCGCTCCTCCGTGAAATGACACGCGGGTCAACCGAGGCTTTGAAGTCGGCCAGCGACGACGACGACTAGTCCAACCCTAGCCGCCGACATAATTAAGTTTGGACGCTGCTAAAATTTCTGCACTGCTACTTGTTGAATTTCGCGCCCCGCTTCGCTCGGCTTCCGAAAAAAAAAAAAAATACGCAGCAAACAGAAACTCGGCAGGGCGGAAAACGCAAGTCCCCAGGGTTGGCGCTCAAAATGTCTTATATAATTGATTTTATTTTTTTTTTATGCAGGGCAAGTAAGATTAAATTTTATTTAAGTAATTGAAACTGGATTTTGGCATAAATAAAAATTACAATAAAATTCAAAATAAAAGTCCTAAATGTTGCTCGCGCTAAAAATTTAAAAGTTGAATATAATCAGATAATTTATTATTTGTATAAAAAATAATATAAAAAGCATTAGTTTTTAGCATTGAATCGAAATAAAAATAAAATCAGTTGGAGACATTCTTTTAGGAAAACTTCTGCTGAAATTTTCCAAATTTAATGGTTGTAGTAAATTAATATAATAATAACAATTATAAGAATATTAATATAAAAATGATAATATTAAAAATTAACCCTTAAATTCTTCCATTCTTTTCCACTTATTTATAAGATTATTTGCTTTTCTGTATCATTTTTCAAATTTGCATTTTTAGTTTGCATTGTGAATGCTTTCCCTTTATGTCGAACATAGTTTTCCTGTTTTAACTGAAAAGTAAAGATTTAAAATTTAAAGTTTTAGCCCAAAATAAACATTGAAGTGTTTCGTCTAAACTTTTAACAAATAAAATAAATTAAAAAATCCTTGAAGATGATCATTTTTATCCGATTTGTGCAATTGACATTTTTATATTTAGAAAAATATTTGATCAGCTTTAATATTTTGAATAATTTTAAAATTGGCAAAAAAGATGTTTTCATTCCAGCTCTAATTGCGTTTTTGGATGGATATATTTTGAAATTTGAAAAAAAAAAAATTGCGCCTCACCTCATTGATGTGCTTGTAAGTCTTGATGAGGTCCACGCTGAGTTTGTGGAGGGGTGCGGTGGCGGGGTCGCGGAAGTGGTGCGGAATCCTGGCCTGCATGGCCTGGATGTCCGCGGCCGGCGTGCCCATGCTGCCGGGCGCGGCGGCCAGCGACGAGGTGATCTGCTCGAGCTGCTCTTCGGGCACGAGGCGGCCGTACAGGGGCGCGTGGTGGCCCCTGCCGGCCGTCTGCTGGGGAAGGCGGCCCACGGGGCCAACCTCGCCGGCTGCAATCATCAGAGCAAAAACCGTCAGTCAAACAAGGAAAGAAAATTTATTAATCGGTGGGGAAATTCGGCAGTTCGGGGAAATCACACGACCTGATCGATCCGAGCCGCACGCAAAGTACTTTTTTGCATTATTCAACCCCCGCCCGACCATCTTTACAAACGCGGAGGCTCTGATTTGCTTCCTGCGTGTGATGATTGCACTCGGTGCAATCGGATCAGCGGCCGACTTGCATAAATCAAATCTCGGCCGCAGGAAGAGTCTCGTTTTGCATTTGCATTGGTGTTGTAGCCCAAACTTGGTTGAATGAAAATTACTTTATAACAAAAGATTTTAAATTTCACGATTGAATAAGTTTAATAAAGGAAAAACCTAGAATTTCAGATTGTTGCATGGAAATTTAAAATTTCTATTAATAACTTTTGAAATGGAATTGAAGTTGTTCCCGTCAAATTGAAACAAGGGTTTGCTTAATTTAGTAAAATCGATATAAATTATGAAAAAAGATATAAATTATCAGTTTTTATTTTCCGAAAACTTTCCTTACTTTCAAATGTTTACAAACGATTTTTAGGTCGAATTTCCTATAGTTTGTTCAAAATAAAGTGTAGAATTATTCATAAATAAAGGGAAATTAAAACTTCTTTTAACTGTTAAAAACTTTTGAAGTTTTAAATCTTCATAAAATTTAAAGACGTGTTCTAATTAATTTTAAAACTATTTGTTTAGACAATTTTCAACATGTAAAATATATTTCAATTTGAAATTATTGGAAAACATTAATTGAATTATGTACTTTTTTTACTGCAATTTTCCCAGCCAAGAAACTTTCTTTCGTCTCTGGCGCACAACTTGCAGCAGCTCTCGTCCATGTACAAGCATTTATGCAATTTAAAATAAGAGGTCATGCGAGGCTATTGCTTTATTGTGGCAGCGAGTTGGGGGCGGCGGAGGCGTGCTTCTTTTATTGCATCCTCCTCGCATGTGATGTTATTATTATTATTACAATAAAATAAATAAAATGTGCAGCGCCGCCATATTAGACTTGGTGACGCGAGCGATACTTTGGCTAATGCACCGGGTTTACGAGCCAAAATCATCTCGGCCTAAGTGCGCCCGCGCGATTTATTTATTGCCGGCTGTTTGCGTCCTGACTTGATAATTATACGCCGCCCGAGTTATTATTCAGCCATTCCGCGACTTTATTTAGTATCTGCGCTCGTAACTTTGCCTTCCTCGGAAAGCGCGCGGAGACGTCTTTTTTATACAGATGGGGCAATTTGTTTGTCTACTGGAAAAGGAAAAAGTGTGCAGTTCTGTACACTGGGGGTAGAAAGATGTTTCATTTTTCACCCCAACTATTGAATTATGGTGTACTTTGGTCTACATTTTCCGCGAATAATGGGCTTTTAATGATGAAGTTGTTTTGCTCAAATAACGAGTTGGAAAGAAGAAAATCTCTAAATATTGTTACTACTCTCATTTTGGTGGACTGTGCAATTATTTAAGAAATTTATTAGGCATTTATAAAGTGATTTACTTAATAGAATAAAAAATAAGAAAATCAAATAGGGCTTTTATCAGAAGATTTACAAGAACTTTATGAAAATCAATTGGAAAAAATTTTCGTTCAAATTGGCATTAATTTGAGTAGAAATTCTGACGTTCATCTTAATTTTAAAGTAAGACCTAATCCATTCACAAATTTACTTATTTATTTATTAATTTTTTAATGATAATGGAGGGTGCGGACCTTTGCGATCAAAATACACACAGACCAAATATGCCTTACTGCCAAATTTATTGATTTATTTCGTTGCCAAACTCAATTTCAGACTTCCCGATTCCTATTCGCTCTCACCTCTCGCGCGATTACTAATGCAAAAGTGCCACTTTTCACAGGTTGCGCGCTTTCCTCTCGATAAGGCGAATTACGAATGGACATCGAACGAGAGCCGCGTGAAAAATTCAGATCCAATTTCTCCGAGCCGACAGCTCTTTCATTAACCCACGCGTTGTTGCCGAGCCGAACGAAAATAATTATTATTTTAGCAGCAGCAGCCGCACCGGGTTGCGGTCGAGGTGTTGTGTTTCTCGGCGGATAAAAGTCGGGGAAAAAAATATAAAAGCGGCACGCCAGCGTCAGTAAGTCAGTCGGTCGGTGAGCCGTATTTAATAATAATTTCATTCATGAAACGCACACACGTGTGAATGAGCGAGCGAGCGAACGACCGTGCATGTCACACATTAATACCCCGAGCAGGCCATTCAATTTTTAATCTGCGCACTCGAGAAGCAGTTAATCCTTGTTTCTTTCTCTCCGGACCAAGTTACCTGCTCTCCAAAAGCTGGTTTTTAGAATTTTATTCTGTGCACTTATTTCACCTCATATAACTGCCGAGCGAGAAGTAGCCGGCAGTGTAATAATTTGTTTACGCTCGTAATTAAAAACGCACTCGGATGTGTCCATACAATGAAGAGCAGCGCTAGATTGAAAGGCAAATTAGCTTCGTTTGCACGCTGATTTTTTTTCAGGTCAACAAGAAATTTGTTGCGCAATTTGTACTCCTCAGGATTAACAAAACCAGATGTGTTTTGTATTCTTGGATATCTCGGAAGTTATTTTTGCATAATAGGATCAATTAAAAGTGAAATAAAATTAATTATTTTTTAAAGAATCATTTAAAATCATGTTTTAAAATTTTAGGAATGTAAAGAATTGATTATAAAAAATATTTATTACATGAAAATCACTTTTTCTGCGATTCAAATTTTTCATAAGAGAAATAGTGATTTTTGAATATTTTGGAAATTTAATAATTGTTTTAAAACAAAATATTATTCTATAGGATTGTTCAATGAATTCCAATATTAGTTCTTGATTGCGTTTTTATCATTTTGCATTTCTAAAACGAGAAATAGCTGTTTTCTCTAGCGCTACTTCCTGATTAATTCAATTCAATAATAATTTCAAAATGGCGTCGATGTTTAATAAGAAAGTTTAACCTCCTGAATAGTATCATTATTTTTGGATGGAGAGTTTTGACAGAAAGATAAAACAAAAAGTCGGTTCTCCTCTCTTTCTTAGTCTCTTCCGAAAGAAGCTTTCCACGCTCTTGGTTCAAAAGCAAAAACAGCGGGAGTTTTGATCAGAACAAAAAGCGGCGTTATTCGTTGGTTCTGCTGCTTGCTCTGATATTTCGCAACATCAAAAAAACTCAAGGCCGCTGGCACGCGAAATTTCAAGTGTTCCCGCGGCTTTTGTAGTAAAAAATACGGCAATGCGTACAAAACGAACGTGGGCGAGGGAGGAAGGCTCTTTTTCTCTCATTACGCTCTCTTTGCTTTGGTTACGTCACGAGAGAGAGAGCGACGAGCACTCGAAAAGGCACCGCCAACCACCGCGCACGGATTAAATTCTGGAGCCCGGGGATTTTTCACTTTATTCCGCCGCTCGAAACAATGTTGAAAAGTGAATCCGTATATGTATTCCGCGTCTTCTCTCGCAGATTACTTTCCAAGAGATAGAGAAGAGCCGAGAGCGAGCGAATATGAAACTGAACCGAAATTTTGAGACGTTTCAAATTCAAACTGAAATTCCTAGCAAATAAAACTTTTCAAAATCAGTTCAAAAAGATTAAAAAGGATAAAAAGAAGGAGTTTTTATTAATTTTTTTACCAATTTCATGCATGCATGATTTTTTTATTAATAAATTACTCATAATATGAGCAAAATTTAATTGAGGATTTTCAACCAAAATGAATATTTAATTTTAGACTTTTTAAATATGCCATAATTATTAATTAAACCGAATAATGTTTTCAACGGTGACTTTTTTTGAAGTTTTGAATCAGAAATCAAATTTTTCAGTTACGTGCAATCTTATGAATTCAGTAAAATTGTTCACTTCAACGCTTCAAAGCGATTCATTTAAATCAATTTTGGTACCAAGAAAGAATAATACAGCATTAAATATAATCCTAAATTCCAAATTGATAAGTAATACAATTCAATGTAAAATGCAAAACATTGGTCAAATTCCGGTTTCCTTGTATTCGAGCAAATCTTTTCAGGATCACATAGGTCCCCCCAAAATGGAGGTAACTGTCTAAAAATTGCACAGGTCATTCCTCATGGTTTGAAAGTAGGCTCCCTAAATTTTTACAAAAAAAATTTCAAAATTGCGGGTTTTAAGGGGCATTTTGAAAAATCCAAAAAACGTAAATAACTCGGCTTCCTGTGATCCTACAATAAAAATCTGGACATATTTGAACACGTCTTATCAAGTTCTACAACTATTCTGTTGACTCCAAAATTCTAGGTCAAAGTTCAAGGTCACGAATTTTAAAATTAAATTTTCAAATTCAAAATGCGAAGCGAGGCTCACGTCAAAATAAAAAATTAAGATAGCCATTCGATTCCTTGTTAAATTTTATGTAACATAAGTTGAAATTGCGCCGTTACTCTTTGTAGTTGAATTTAAAATTAAATAAAAATATTTAAAAACGTGGTTTTTTGCACCCCGACACACGCATTCAACACAATTCACGTAAATAACTCGATTTCCATTAGTTTTAGACCATAATTGATGATGACAAATATTGTTGCCCATAAAAAGACGATTCCAAAAATATGCATAACGATGACCTTTGATGACCTTGGTTCAAAGGTCACCTTGACCTTTGACCCAGGGTGACCGAAACGTGATGTGCGATATATAGTTAGAAAGATCTCATCAAGACAAATATTTTAGACACCAAGTTTTTGATTCTAGCTACAAGAAAATGTAATTAAATGGATTTTTAATTCATTATAACTCGATTTTTACGGGATGTGTGCCGAAAAATTAGGTTTTTTGTATTTAAATAAGCTTTTAAATGACGTAGAATCAAAAACTTGGTGTCTAAAATATTTGTCTTGACAAGATCTTTCTAACTATATATCGCACATCACGTTTCGGTCACCCTGGGTCAAAGGTCAAGGTGACCTTTGAACCAA